TAGGGCTGGACGATATGGCCAAAATTTATATCACAATATATTTCTTAATTTCGGTCGATACAATATAATTCCGATATCGATATGAACACCATTTAAAAAAAAGCCTCATAAAAACTGCAAAGAACACCCACAACAGATGTCTGTACCTACAAACTTGTGAAAAATTTATTTGCCAAGTCTATGAAAACTCTTCCTATAAAACTATTAAATTTTTTTAGAAAAAAAAACAGCACAAATAAATTAATGTTCACCTTTTATTTGTATTTAGCCTTCATACAAACAAGAAATGTGAAATCACTGTCAAATAAACATCTCAGACTCACCTTATTAATCACTAATATCTTTAACTTAGCAAAAACAGTAACATTTTGAAATATTTTTACTATTTAAAATAACTGTTTTCTATTTGAAAATATTTTAAAATGTAATTTATTCCTGTGATTTCAAAGCTCAGTTTTTAGCATCATTACTCCAGTCACATGATCCTTCAGAAATCATTCTAATATTCTGATTTGCTGCTCACAAAACATTTATTGTTATGTTGAACAGCATTTATCTGAAATATACATTTTTGTATATATGAAATATAACATTATAAATGTCTTTATCATCACTTTTGATCAATTTAAAGCATCCTTGCTAAATAAAAGTATTCATTGCTATAATTAGAAATAATTGGTTTCCCCAATAATGGCTGTAATCAAAGCAGCTCCACTCATAAACGCTACTTTATCAGATAAAATAAAAATGCCATCGAAACTTTTCTGAAGACGGTTCCCTTCATTCAAATAAAACACCCGCGCCGCGTTTTGATTTTGAAACGTGCAGGGCTCATGTTTATTTTGTCAAATGCCACAAATAAATCAATGTATGGGAAACACTGGTAATGTATATCAAAATATCGGAAATGTGTTTAAAAATCATATCACCATTATTTAAAAAAATTATATTGCGATACATATTGATGTTGATGATATATATATTTTTTTTAAATAGAAATATATACAAAAAGAATAGGAAATGAAACTGCTTATTTATTTGAAACCAGAAATGTTTATTGGGAACTGCATGACATTTTCAAAAGTCTGTGCCAGCTGGTGCAGAATTGACGAACATCATACCTGCTGTTAAACTCATTTCACAAGCATACTAGTGCCCAGGATACACTTGAAACTGCCTTATAATATTGGATTACATTGAACTATTGCATTGAAGGTTGCATATAATTGAACATAACAGCAAGTCTTTAACAAGCGTGATGCAGATTACATGCCAGGGGATGTTGGTTTAACATTGTGTTTTATTTTCCCCCACACCCAAGCTAACCAAAACCACATAACATGAATTTACGTACATTAAAGGAATAGTTCACCCAAAAATGACATTCTTACAAAAAAAAATAATTAAAACATCTTGCAAACAGCTTTTCACCTCACAAGACATTAATTACTGGACTGGAGTGGTGTGGATTACTTCATTGTTTTTATCAGCTGTTTGGAGTCTCATTCTGACGGCACCCATTCACTGCAGAGCATCCATTGGTGAGCAAGTGATGTAATGCTACATTTCTCCACATCTGTTCTGATGAAAACACAAACTCATCTACATCTTGGATGGCCTGAGGGTGAGTAAATGTTCACCAAATTTCCATTTTTGGGTAAACAATTCATTTAATGTAATATTTACATTTACAAAGGTCCTCAGACCTTTTAAAGAGAATTTTAGTCATTAAAGTCATATTTACAATTTGAACAATTTCAGTGCATAATAAGATCTAAAGTCAACAAACATTTATTTTCCTCTTTGATCTGTCATTTCTTGTTGGACAGCACGTGTTCTTTTCTTCACGTTAGCGTAGGCTGCTTCATCTTCCAGGGCGTTGTCAGATTAGAATGGTCTCATCACACTACTTAAAAAAAGCAAAATATGTTAGAGACATCTCAAACAATGTAGATTCTATTGATGAAGTATTCTCTTTTAATTATAAATGTTAAGGCACATGCAGTGTTGTTTTTTAGTCACAGTTTTGCACATTAATATCTGCATGCACGAGTCTTAGGTGTGTTGTTATCAGTTTTAACAGCTAGCTAAAGTGCGATGGTTCCAGGTAGCACTTTTTTTTACAGTCCTGTTCCGCACGTACATATTATGTACTTGCTTTAGTATTTACAATAACTGGGTAATAACTAAAAACTAACCCTGAACCTATCCCTGAACCTAACCCTAGCCCATGCAATTACTCTATATTATGCAGTACTTTCTTAGGTTACGCATACATTTTAGCATACATCACGGTATGATTTTTCCCAGTATAACAAAAGGAAAAGTATTAAGACTTGAAACATTTTTAATAAAGATAATTGTTTTACTAAGTTCAATCAAAAAACTGTGAGGAAAAAATAAATGTTACATTTGTTTAGAGCATTTTCTATACATATATAATAACTACAAGTCAAGCTGCAATACCAAACAGGACCACACGAAGATGCCAACAGACCAGTCGCCATAACCTGACTGTATATAGATATATAATTTGGCGATCTGAAGGCGGCATCACCAGTGAACTGTTCATCTGTCAGAGTGAGTGTTCGTGTCTGTGTTTGGGAGTCTTCATAAACACCACTGACCACCACAGCCCTCCCGGAACTCATAGAGATCGCACTTTGGTGCACAAAGTCCCGTTCGCACTTTGGTGGTGCATTGCCCTATCTCCCTAATGAAGAAACCGCCCCTGCTTTTTAAAATAAAGTGCCACCAGGTTCCATCAAGCAATTCTTTTACATGCATAACACAAACAACACATTAAAGTCACACTGAAAATCAACACCTCCAAGAACTTGTCAATAAATGTCTAAAGAACTGATGCGCTGCTCAGAAACCGACTTGAGCGTTACTAAAAGCTGTGAAAGTAAAACGTTTTGTCACCGATACAAAGTTGTACTCACCCCCAGGTTGTCATAAACACTACCTTTCAGGCAGTTTATGTAAATATCTCCATCACTGCCTTTCTCTTTTCTGCTTTTCATAAAATGATAGATACAAATAATTAGTAAATGTTCTGATATGTAGTTATGTATCAAAAATTATATTATACACTACAGTCAAAAGTTTGGAATCATTAAGATGTCCTGTTTTATGATATGAGCCTTTTTCACCAAAGCAAAACAATACAGCAAAAAGAGTAATATTCTGAAATATTATTACAATTTCAATTACAATTTTCTATTTTAATATATTTTGAAATGTAATTTATTCATGTAATGCAAAGCTGAATTCTCAGCATCGTTACTCCAGTCTTCAGTGTCACATGATCCTTCAGAAATCATTCTAATATGCTGATTTGCTGTTCAAGAATCATTTCTTATTATTATCAATGTTGAAAACTGTTTTTGTGGAAACTGTGATACATTATTTTCAGGATTCTTTGATGAATAGACCGTTTAAAATAATAGCATTCATTTGAAATCTTTTTGTAACATTTGGTATATCTTTAGTCATGTTTAATGCATCCTTGCTGAAAAAGTATTAATTTCTCTAAAAAAAATAAAGTTATCCCAAACTTTTGAATGGTAGTGTATCCCAGTTTAAACAGAAATATTAAAAATATATATAATGAAGTAAAATAAATAATCTAATATGCAAGTCAGCATATTAGAATGATTTCTGAAAGATCATGTGACACTGAAGACTGGAGTAATGATGCCATCACAGGAATACATTACATTTTAAAATGTATTCAGATAGAAAACATTTATTTTAAAAGAGACTTATTTAAAAAAAAAACCTAAACAATATTAATGATTGTAAAAATTTGGACTGGTACTGTATATAAGTTTTTACTGTATATACTTTTCTAACTCAGACTTTTTTGGGGTTGTCTTCATTTCAGTCTGTTCATTCTTCCAAGTTACAAGTTGTTGTTTAGCTCTGTTCCCACTTAAAAGAAGAGGGATTTTAAAGTTGTCAGGAAACAAAGGAGAAACAAGAAGGAATACCAAGACAAACTGATTGAGTGAGTAATGTGTAGCTTACGAGAGAGAGCGAGATCCTTACCAGCGTTTTCTCACAACATACACTAAAATGCAGACTAAAACAACTACAACAGCTGATGCACCAACGATGTATTTTATTATGCCTGTGAAAAGAAGCAAACAAATATTTAAATTAATTATTTTTGCAATAAAACAATGACAGAGTGTTTTTAAAAAAGTCTGAATATGAAGTGTCACCATTTTGAGGAGCTTCTAAAATTATGGAAGAATTTCCCAGAATGTTATTGGCAAAGCACTGGACAGTCTCAGGGAAACCCGGCCAACCCTGTAGGGTGAATATGGTAAGAGACTCATTTTGTTTAATGCTGGTGCTGGAGAAGGTTTTTGAGGAATCTGGACCAAACCACTTGACTTCACTGGGAGGGTTGGAGTCCACAATACAGGCACAGACTGTCAAAATCATAGTCTGGCAAGAAGATTCACTTTTAATTTCAGGAGGATCTAAGATAGATAGATAGATAGATAGGAGTATTAGCTATCATAAATCATAATGATCTTCTTTCACTAACAGTACCGATTGAAATGGTTGAACCGAGGCCTTTCACTCATACTTACACAGTATATTAAGTTTCTGTGAACCAGAACTGTTTTTTCCCTCTGTGTTAATGACTGTACAAGAAATGGCCTCAGTATGTCGAGATACTCTCTCCAGTTTGTAAATGGGGCTCTTTGCTAATGTTGTTCCAGTTGAGCTGAACCACTGGTAGCTGTTTGCAGGAGGGTTGCTGTTACTAGAGCAGGTCAGTTCAACAGAGTCATTCTCCTTCACTGAGGGTTTAGTGAGCACGTTTACATTATATGGAGGATCTGATTGACATAAAATTTGATACAATGTCAAACATTCAGTTCATTTAATATATGTTTTTACTAAAAGCAATTTAAGTTAGTATGTAGAAGAAGTTTGTCGTCTCCTGATACCGTTGAGTAATGTAGTGATACGAGGAACATTTAGGCTACTACACTCGACACACACCCTAGAAGAACACTTGAATTCCAAAAAGAACCGTTTAGTGAACAGTTCTTAATAGATCCACTTTTTTCTTAGTGTTAGGAACATTTATCTAAATAAATTTTTCCACTTTAAAGGGATAGTTCACCCAAAAATGAAAATTTGATGTTTATCTGCTTACCCCCAGGGCATCCAAGATGTAGGTGACTTTGTTTCTTCAGTAGAACACAAATTATGATTTTTAAGTCCAGCCGTTGCAGTCTATCAGTCGTATAATGCATGGCAATGGTAACAAAATCTATGAGAGTAAAAAAAACATGCACAGACAAATCCAAATTAAACCCTGCGGCTCGTGACGACACGTTGATGTCCTAAGACACGAAACGATCGGTTTGTGCGAGAAAGTTTACGTTAATGGGTGTGTTGATATCCAGCCGAAGAGCAATCAACCATAACTTCAGGCGAGCAGGCTCAGAAGTTGGGAATACATGGAAAGTCACCACTCCCGAATGAGTTCGCGCGAGAGAACGTAATCTTTTAGTTTTAAGTCGGTTTGAATAATCCGGATAAGCGCAAGTAAGTACCATTTTGATTAGCCGTCGTACCTACAATGACTGTGCACTGTGTAAACAATGAGTGATGTATACGCGCGAGAGATCATTTCCGGCGCTTGCGTAAACTACGCCAGAGCGCGTACACACCTCACGCACCGGATGCTGTGCACGCGCTCAAGGAAGTTGGACACAGTGGTGTATTAGAGGTAAAAAATGATATAAATACTGTTCGGTTTCTCGCACAAACCGATCATTTAGTGTCTTAGGACATCAATGTGTCGTCACGAGCCGCAGGGTTTAATTTGGATTTGTCTGTGCATGCTTTTTTTACTCTCATAGATTTTGTTACCATTGCCATGCATCATACGACTGATAGACTGCAACGGCTGGACTTAAAAATCATAATTTGTGTTCTACTGAAGAAACAAAGTCACCTACATCTTGGATGCCCTGGGGGTAAGCAGATAAACATCAAATTTTCATTTTTGGGTGAACTATCCCTTTAAAGAACCTTATGTCCAATGGAAAGTGTCCAATGATGTTAAAGGTTCTTCATGGAACCATAAATGCCAATGAAGAACCTTTATTTTTAAAGGTTAAAATACTTAAAATACTTTCTCCAAACAATAAAGGGCCAGTCACACAAAAAACTCTACTTACACAGCACATTAATTTTCTGTGGACCAGAACTGTTTTTTCCCAGTGTGTTAATGGCTGTACAGGAAATGGCCTCAGTATGTCGAGATACTCTCTCCAGTTTGTGAGTATGTTTGTTTCCTAACAACATCCCATTTGAGCTGAACCAATGGTAGCTGTTTGCAGGAGGGTTGCTGTCACTGGAGCAGGTCAGTTCAATAGAGTCATTCTCCTTCACTGAGGGTTTAGAGACCACTTTTACATCATACGGAGGATCTGATTGAGACAAAATGTTGATAAAACGCTATTTATTACCTCAACAATGGTCTCACCAGGCTAACCCTGTGCCAAGGATTCATTTCATTTCATAAGACTGTGGTTTTCAACCAGGGGGTCTCTGCAGACATTGCATATTTTGGCCACAGGATCATTCAAACGTATTGAAATTAATATATCATTATTAATACTAATATATTAAGATAATGGGGGATTTTGAGTCAAAAAAGTTGCGAACCACAGTCCTAAAACTATTAACAGCTAACAAGAAAAGATGTGAATTAGCATCTGATCATTTATTTGTCTTAAACTCACATAGTCGACTTACATTTAACTTTGAGTGTTCTGTAGTCTGTCACTGTCTTCCCTTCAAACTCTGCAGAGCAGCTGAGATGTTTATTATGGTCTTCTCTAGAAGGGGTGAAGGTCAGGGTGTAAGATGTAAGCTTCAATTGACCGGGATTTTGCGGCTGTGATAGACTCGAGTGTGTGCCGTCATGGTTCCAGGTGACACGAGGCAGGTCTGAGGGACAGGAATGAGACACGGCACAGGTAGCAGTCACCGGTTTCCCTGATGTCATTTCCTCTTCCACAGAGACGATAGGAATCTCTGGTGTTTCTGGTGAAGACACACAAATTGTTGATGCAACAGTTTTTCCACCACTTCTCATACCTGACACATTAATTGAAATATTAATTTGGATATTACACAACAAATCATAGTGATTAACCCTCATGTTGTGATTCAGTAATTTTGATCCGGAGAGGATTTTCTTCTTCCAGAAAATTCTAGCTAATATTATGACATGCTTCCAAAAAAATGATTTATAAATTACTCATTATGCTATATTATTACCAAATTTTGGATTTAATCTTATCACATTGTGTTCTTAAAGTAAGCACAGGTTTTGTATTTCTTTTTTGAACGGACTGATCATAGACCTCATTGTTCCTTCCTGTAGTTCATACAGTAGAGCATGGCGCTAGCAACACCAAGGTTGTGGGTTTGATTTCTAGGGAATGCATAAACTGAAAAAAAAAAAAAAAGTATAGCACTGAATGCAATGTATGCTGTTATGTCTTTGGATAACAGCATCTGCCAAATGCATAAATGTAAATTGGGTGTATTGTTTTTGAGTGAATATTGCCAAAATTATTCACAAATAATGCTGAATTTTTCACTCAAAAACTGCAGATGCACAAGCTAAGTTATAGAAAACATGCTGACAAACGATTTAATCCAACATGCATGAAACCTTTTCATTACACAAAATGTTCTTTGTAGTGGAAAATGTTTTTTTAGATGATTAAAATGTTCTTAATAAAAAAGTGGCTGTTTTAGAAGCTTCATATTCATGGGGAACTAAAAAAAAAAGGTTCTTCTGTGTCATCACTGTGAAAAAATAAAACCCCTTTGAAACCTGAGTGAAGGTAACATTAAAACCTTTTAATTGAACAAATTTCTCTTACCTTTCACTGTTACAGAAGTTTTATTCTGCCCAAAGCTGAATTTGTCCAGATCTTTAATCTCAATCCGGAATATGAATGGTCCAGTGTCACTGCTGCTCAGAGAGCTGATTTTCAAAGAACAGTCGTTTTGGCGCAAATCACCAGTGAGACTACTGCGACCTTTGAATGTGTCACTGATTTTTGAGGTGTCTGTATGGTATACTGTAAATTCATAATATCCTTTGTACCAAATCCCTGTAAATTCTGTGTATGTTTTTCCCTTTGCAGGGTAGCTGAAAGTACAGGGAATGACCACACATGATCCAGACAAACCCACCACTGATTTCGGCATTTCAGCACTCCATTCCACAGCAGTAGGTGACACTGAAAGCAGAATGACTCAAAATTATTTTATATTTTTTCTTAACAATTTAGTAACCAATTAAATTATTTTATATGTTACAAATGTCAATTTTAATGTTATACCAGTGACATTATTATTATTGTTTTTTAAATGTTACTTTATTTTAGAATTTCCTGTATTTTATTATTGGTTTTGTTCAGCACTTTGGTCAGTGTAACGCTGAATTTTAAATGTGCTCTATAAATAAAACGTCTCGGGTTACTTATGTAACCATGGTTCCCTGAGGGGAACGAGACACTGCGTCCTCTAGGGGTCGCTATGGGGAACGCCTCGTCGTGACCCGTGTCTGAAGCCTACATTGAAAAAACACCAACTTGTTTGGCCGGCGACAGCCATGACGTCACTACCGTCGCGACTAGTACAAAATAGGCGCCGGTAGCGCACATCATTCACTTCTTCGTCTGAAGCTTGTGTCCGCAGCATGGCACAAAGCTAGAGGACGCAGTGTCTCGTTCCCCTCAGGGAACCATGGTTACATAAGTAACCCGAGACGTTCCCTTTCGTGGAACTTCGAACTGCGTCCTCTAGGGGTCGCTATGGGGAACGGTTTACCCACGCCGCCATGCTGAGGGGAGTGCAAGCCAGAACCATGGCGAGCCACTAAGTACCAACTACACCATATCGCTATGGGAGTTGCCCCTGTCCTGGACTTAGACTGCTGTCAGTGACATTACTCCCTACGGCCAGAAGCCTAGGCTGCCAAGGGACATTACTAGAGCCTCACAGTGTGCAGGTCCCACTGGGACAAGATTGGTAGTAGAACCCAGGCTACCAATAGTCTACCACGGGAATCAGTCTCTCGAGATTAACCTCTGGTGTAATGAGGGCGGCTGGCTCGGTGCCCAGAACTGCGGGACGGCAGGGGCCACCGTACCAGCTGTGCCAAAAGAAGCCTCCTCGGAGGTGGCGCCAGGGCCTAGAATCATGAAGGATTCCTTCCAGGGAATACGACCAAGAGCCTACTTATTGGATCAATTACTAGTCTTGGCCTGTCACTCAGGGCTACCTCACTTTGCAGAAGGACCTGTCTCAAGAGGCCTCTAGTGGAAACACCCTGTCAGAGTAGGTATTCGAGGATACCAGGAGGAGTGGGTCCCAGGCGGAACCGGGGTTTTAGACCACTCAGAAAAAGAGAACGAAGCTGAACGCGTAACTCTTACCATATAGGATTTTAGAGAAGTGGGCAAAGCAGAACGTGCGCACTTACCACTTTTCGTGGAATTTTAGAAAAGTGGGCAAAGATACCGTGCCCACTTACCACCATGTGGATTTTAGAATGTCCATATGTAGATGGATACAACCGTTCTAGGGGGTTCTCGTGGCACTTCTGGAGGGCAGCCTATAGATGGAAACCTGAGTAGTCATCAGTCTCACCTACGGCTATCACGCTGGCGTGGCTAGCCGCGAACCTGTAGCTGAGGGAGCAGACATCCATTCAGCGGGAGCTCGACCTACAGCATGTTCCATTGGTGGAACAGCTAGCAGTTATCAGCTGGGGGAGCAACACGCCCAGTTCTCACCGAGAAGGGGACTCGACCCGCAGCGCGTTCCAACTAGCGGAACCAGCTAGTAACAATTTCGGCGTGGGAGCCCACGCCTGGTCCTCAGACGCACAGGGGGCTCGACCCTTACCCATGCCGGGCTTTCCCCGGCTGGCAGTAGCTCATTCTAGCTGGGGGAGCCCAAACCCAACTCTCACCGAGAGGGGGGGCCCCCAACCAGCAGCATGATTAACAATCAGAGGGGTAGCATACTGCAGGCTAGCCACATCGCCAGCGCATCAGGGAGGCGGAGGACGGCCCAATCCTACTGATGCAGCTGGTTCGAGGTCTTTCTGGAAGACAGCGAGCTCAAGCCTCTCATAAACGAGGCACCTCCGTTTTCCCCAGCGGAGGAATACTGGTCACATTCCAGGTAACCCTCTCATGAAAGGGGAGCAGCGCTCAACATTACCACGAGGACGGCCCATGGAGCGAGGGATTCAACTCCTCGGAGAGGACCCTGCTCGCCAGAAGACACCCTCTTAGTACCCCTTGATATCAAGGGGGGCAGTGCCTCCTGAGTGCGTCGATCGAGACACACTGGTTGAGAGGAGCCCAGGAAATCGGGGTCTAACCATCTCCGAAACAGGGAACGAAGTCCGAAACGCGTAACCCTCACCGTACAGGATTTTAGAGAGGTGGGCAAAGAAGAACGTGCGCACCTACCACTTTCGTGGGATTTTAGAGAAGTGGCAAAGCATAGCGTGCACACCTACCACCTAGGTGGAATTTTAGACGGGTGGCAAAGCCTAACGTGCCCACCCACCACTTACGTGGATTTTAGAAAAGTGGCAAAGGATAACGTGCACACTTACCACTCATGTGGATTTTAAAAGGTGCGCAATATGAGCACTTTTACCATAATCTTTGGATTTTCTTAGGGTTCTATTGTCACCCGGACGTAATGGCCGGTCGGGAACAGCCGCTCCAGCACCCTCCTCAGAGGCGAGGGGAGCGGTGTCTCCAGGGTGTGTCGACCAAGACACACTACTTGAGTGGCACCCAGGGTACCGGGGTGTTATCCCACTCTTAAACAAAGGGAACGAAGACCGCACGCGTAACCCTTACCTTCACAGGATTTTAGAAAAATGGGCAAAGAATCCCGTGCCCATTTACCACCTAAGTGGAATTTTAGAAAATGGGCAAAGCAACACGTGCCCATCTACCAGCTATGTGGATTTTAGAAAAATGCGCAAAGCTTCACGTGCACATTTACCACTCACGTGGATTTAGGGAAATGCGCAAAGCCTTGCTTTACGTGGACATTTACCATATTATCTGGATTTTAAGTTCATGGATACCCGACCATATCGGCCAGCTGGAAGAGGCCGGCTCGCCCATCTCAGTGGTGATGGGAGCCCTGCCTACGACAGCCTTACACAGGAGGATCCTGGTGATGCCCCCTGTACCTCCCGTTCGTTGCCTCAGCAAGAAGGAATACGCCGGTGGCCCGGAAGCCCCTCGGGGCGACCAGGCACTGTAGCCCAGTCCGGGTGCCTTGCAGCGTAGCACCGGGGGCCTGATGTTCCCGAGGCTCCCGCAGAAGCCCGTGTTCGGCCGCATTATCCAGGAGGTATGAAGCCGACGCCCGGCTTTCCCTTACCGCCTGGACGTAAGTCGACGAGTGAAACGCCTACTGCAAGTAGAGCACCTGGCTTCTGAACCCAGCAACGGCACCTCACCGAGGGCGTCTAGCAAGGGACAGAAACGTACAGGTCCCGGAAACACTGCAAGGAACTATAGAGGTTACACACACACAGCCATCTCAGTCTGTCCTTAATATACAGATATCATGATATTTGGATCGTACTCACCCCCATGACTTCTGTACCGGAGCTGTGCTCCGAGGATCTCTTGACCGGATTTTTCCTGCTGCAGGTAACTTTATACACTCTATTAGGTTATTTTACACATGACCACCTCAGTCTCTCATTAGTATACATGCTCTCATGATATATGGATCATACTCACCCACCACGAGGCTTGTTGCCGGAGCTGTGTCCGGGGATTTTTTGACCGGACCATCAGTCAGGCGGTTACTATGATCTGGCCATAGAACCACCAAAACATCATGGGCCCAGTAGGAGACTGTTTGAAATTGTTTTACAGCTAACCTCGGTCAGCTGGAGATGGTGGTCATAAAAAGGGAATTAGAAAAAGGGGAGAACAGGGTAGATGTTGTACCCCCTGCGGGAGAGAGTGAATACCTAGGTATTACTCTGACCCGGACGAAAGCGCTGGCGCCTTGCCCAGGTCTCACCCCTCGGGTTTCGCCTGCCTCCCCTCGACCCACGATACTTCCTACCCCCACCCACAGGTGGAGGCGGGGCGCGAGTCGCGACACTAGCCCTCTGTGCCCGTCTCTGATCCTCAAACCGAGACGGGCCAGGACCCCTGGTTTGTTCGGGCTCAGACCTGGGCCTTCGTGGTATGAAGGACTTGAACGCTGCTGAGCGCGACTTCGCCTCCCTGAATTTGTCGACCACCGTCTCGACGGAGGTGCCAAACAGTTCAGAGGGCGAAACCGGGGCATCGAGAAGAAAGCCCCTTTCTTTCTTCCCGATGTCCGCTAAGTTCACCCACAACTGCCGCTCCGTCACCACCATAGCAGCCATCGCTCTGCCCATGGCAGAGGCTGCCTGCTTAGTAGCCCGGAGGGCCAAGTCTGTGGTGCGTCGCAGCTCAGCCGTTTCGCCAGAGGAAAGGCCCTGCCCCTCATCCAGGTCCTTCAGCAGGTCAGCCTGGTATGCCTGAAGCACCGCCATCGTGTGCAACGAAGCCACCGCCTGACCTGCCGCTGCGTATGCCTTGCCGTTCGTGCGAGATGTGGCTTGAAGGGGCACGGATGGCAAGGAGGGAGTTTTGAGGGATGACGTCTCCCCCAGAGAGAGATAGCTGGCTAGCGTCTCTTCCACAGGGGGCATCATTCCATAGCCGCTTTCGCGCATTGACTCGATGTTCGCATAACTCGTATGCTGAAACCGGTATACGCGTGAGGAAAACGGCCTCTCCCATTCCTTCTCGATCTCAGTGTGGAGATCAGGAAGGAAAGGAAGGCTCACTTGAGCTGGAGGTGTATGGCCAGAGAGATAACGCTCGTCGAGGCGACCTCGCGACGTCACCTCCTTGGCCCGTTTCCACGGTAATTCGAGCCTTGCCGTGGCTCGATCCATTACCTCTAACAGCTCATCATACGCAGGGCAGGTGGATTGGGAAAGCTCAGCCTCAGCTTCTTCACTCTCCACATCCATTTCCTGCTCTTGTTGGGCTGGGCCCAACTGAGCACTGGCCCCTGGATCAGATGATATTAGAGAGAGGATATCATCGTCCAGCGGCTGTCTCTCGCCCGACGCCGATGCGCGGAAGAGGGGAACCCCCCCTTCAGCCTCATCGGCTAGGTCCACCTGAGATCCCCACGAGCTCATTCTCCTCCGTGCCTCAGCAGCGGCGGGTCCTGAACCGCGGGAAACCGATGGTTGTCCCTCTCCCCTCGAGAAGAGAGACAAACGAGAGCGGAGCTTCTTCAGAGAAAAGCTCTCACAGTGCACACAGATTGCCCCCTCGAGGACATCGTGTGCGTGCTCCTCGCCCAAACAAACAACGCATAGATCGTGTGAATCATCGGGTGTCAGGAACCGCTGACACGGATGTACACACTTTCTAAACGCTTCGCTAGTGCTCGCCATAGTAGGAAAGAAAAAGCTCTTACTTTGCTTTTTGGAATGCACGCTTCAAACAGACCGGTCAGTGAAGACGAAGAAGAGAATGATGTGCGCTACCGGCGCCTATTTTGTACTAGTCGCGACGGTAGTGACGTCATGGCTGTCGCCGGCCAAACAAGTTGGTGTTTTTTCAATGTAGGCTTCAGACACGGGTCACGACGAGGCGTTCCCCATAGCGACCCCTAGAGGACGCAGTTCGAAGTTCCACGAAAGGGAACTTACTTACTTACTTACTACTTACATTACATCATAATTAAAAAAATTTAATGGATTTCCTTTTGTTTTAGTATGAGCCTAAATTATTTTCCAAGACACTCATCTTGGTTCACCTAATAGTTTCCTCCGCAGAGATGTCAGGAAGTAGACTGTAATTCATTTGTCTGAGGAATGACTCATTATACTTTACTGTAATAATGCAATGGCCTAAGAGCAGAAAAAATGCTTTTTTTGTATGTGTGTAAAATTCACTACATGAAAAGACTAAACACTGATTATTTACAACTTAAAACTGTCATACATAACCATTTTATGTAGTTATATTTTACTAACCTCTGAGCCAGAGAAAGAGTGACAGTAAACAGCTCCAGAAAACCATCTCTGCATCAAAGTTCAGCGCCTGGGAATAAATATTGTCATTATTTACGACTCTTCAGTTCCCAGTAACCACTAAGTATTGTTTTAGAATGACAACATAGTTTCATTTCTCACTGTTTATGGAGCACGTGCAGTGCGGCATTTGCAATAAACTAGTTATTTAATAAGGGATTTAAATAATACATATTTAATAAGGGATTAAAAAAATTTTTTTAGGAGTAACTTACTTAATGTTGTGTCCTCAAACGGTGCCTGAGGTCATTAGAAGAAGACTGATGTGCTAAATATCCGAGAGCTTCCTTCCCCCTATATCTGGCTGAGCGTGATGCTTGTGATAATTTGGTCACTTCCAGGGTGGCGCTAGGGGTGGGCTAAGGGAAGGCCCGAATGTATTTTTTATTACCGTGTCTTGTGCGCATCATTTAATGCGCATTAAAATAATTTCTATTAAACCAGCACTTAAACAGCAAAATGCTGCTGCTTCAGGTATTTGTAACTTACTGTAGGCTATAAATTCATAGTACTGATCTCAACACCTGTCAAAATTAGATTGTTACGGTATAGCAACAAATATAGACTTTTTAATCATGTTATTATATGCACAGACTTTCTAGGACACACGCACGTATTTAGAGCGATTATATGAACAGATTGTTTAGCATTTGGAATGGTCTGTGGCAGACTTTCTGCCATAGCGATCGTTCTGCGCAACGCCGATGCATCTCGAACAAGCCTAATATTTGAAAGCACCAAAACAAACATGCACATACCCCAACAGGACCTCGCCCCTATTTTGATAACTCCGCCCCAAACGTATGTACACAACCTTGGCAGCGACGATGGTGGATCTGTCATGCCTGCCAGCCGCAGCATATTCAAGCAAAAGCCAACATAGAAAAGTGTTGCAAAATTTACATAACTCACCTATCGAGAAGAAACAAAGCAACATCGGCGTCCGATTCCCTTCCGCTCTTTATTTCTCTCCACCGCTGAAAAGCTGATCCTATATTTATGCAGTCTTATCTCTTGCCTGATCGTAGCATTTTTAATGTTTTGTTCCTCCGAAATGTTCCTCTTTTTTTACCTGCCATCTCTCGCTATCTAGTCCATCTGATAATATCCATCCTGTGCACTCACTGAGCTGTCTCTTCTCCCTATCATTACTAGACACGCCCCTTACTGCTGATTGGCTGCGAGTTTGTTTTGGGACTCGGTCCGACACAGTGGTCAAAAGCGTTTTTCAAAAATCGCTTAGTGCACCTTTAATAAAACTTCCTTCCTGAATGAATCAGCCGTTTTGAATGAATCGATTGAATAAATGACTCAACGACTCAGTAATTAAGACAGTGGCTTGCTGCCACCTACTGGCAATTTTAGTCTCATTTTTAAAAGTATTCTATTTTTCTATCATTTCATATTTCTGTGTTCTAAATTTTATATTTAAAACATAATCTCATAACATTATTTAAGCAATTTGTAAGTGCAGTGTAAATGCATGCAGGAGCTCCTGTGTATGTATGTGTAGGCTAGAGCCCTGCGTGTTTAAATATACTTGCCTCTTTGCCAATGTAATTTTTAAACATATTTTATTTGAAGTGCATCCCGTGTATTCTGACACATACATGGATGTCTCTGGGCTAAGCCCTGGGTATCCACTCACCCTAGAACCGCCCCTGGTCACTTTCTATTTCAAAGGACTCTGAAAGACTGGCTGTACACATTCAGCATAAAAGTGTCCTGAAATGTATATGTTAATACAAATATGTTAATTCTATATAAGAAGTTCACTTAAACTTTTTTTTTTGAGTGAATGTGTTCGCTAAATGTAGTAAAAAGTAATCATACATGTATGAATGGATTACATTTAAATAATTGCTACCAGAATCATGAGGCATTGTGGGTGAGTGCCAAGATTTTGCTATACGGTTGCTTAGGTGGACCTAATGGTTTTTACCACATTGCTATGGGGTTGCAAAGGTGTTTTGGAATGTTGCTAGGTGTTTTATAGTTATGGTGTTTTATAGTAACACCATTAAACAAACACATCAAGTGTAGCCTATTCTGAGGCTAAAACTGTGATTATGTATTTGAGAGAACACAGTCATATCCAATGTGTGTGTTTTTTTGTTTTTTTTGGTCAATATGCATCACTAGTGGTGTGACTGTGACCTGTGTGGGCTTGAACTTAACCTCTATATCTTCATTTTAACAGGATGTGTGGACTAAAAAATGATATCTTGTCATGTGACTTCTCTGTATGCCATTGTGTGTGGTTGGTTAAACAGCTGGGCTTTGTGAGGCTTTGTGAGGTTCAGCTGTAACTGAAGAGCTACTTTGACCTTTGTCTGTCAACAACTCTACTATCTCTACTGTTTGAGGTACTGTAAAAAATGAAATGATGAAATGGAGCCTGCAGTATTTAATGTTCCTTTGTTCTTAAGATTTGCTTTCTCCAGTGGCCATAAAATGTATTTGCAACACTTAAAAAGACTGAATTTGGTATGTATTAGAGATATCAAACAAAATATCAAACAAATTAATTTAATTTTAAAAAAGATACATGCAAAACATTGCACATCCACCAAAATCACTTTGGCATCAGGAAAGAGAAGCTAGTTCTGAGAAAAGTTCTTGCATCATTTGATGCATCGTTTGCTATCTAATGCAATTCTTACCACATCTTTGAGAATTTAAGATACATTTTAAATCACAGTAGTATTGGATGGGTTTTTTTTTTAAGATGGTTATTCTTCAGATATAAAAATGCATGTTTTTAATGCTGGTTTGGAAGATGGTTTTAATGCATGGTTTGCAGAAATTCAATTAATCCGAATTAATTGCTTTTATTGACAATGACAAAGGGAAAGTTCTGTTTTAAAGACAAACAGAAACTGCTCAGAAATTATTTAAATGTTTAAATGGAACACATATTTCCAAAAATATTTCCAAATCACACACCCATCTAAATCTTTTAAGAGTTTTCACGAGGTCCTGACATTTCCATTAGGGGTCAGTATATTCAATGTAAACTGAACTAGGTCTGTCAGCTTTGTGGATTTTTCTCATCTACAAAGGCAAGGTTGCACATTTCCCAGCTCTGCTTTGAAAATTGTTCCTGGTTAGACTGTGCTGATGATAGATGGCAGTAACGGATGTGATAGCTTCTTGGAAGATTTAGTTTAGCCAAACTGTAGTCTTTCGTGGACAGTACTTTTGAATGTTTGTCTTTCCGCAGGGCGTCCGCAAAACAAACCTCATCCTCTGGGTCATGCTTAGTGAGCTTTTTATTTCTCCTCCTAATATTTTGTCTTGAGTCCTGGGTCATCAGAGGCCTTGATTTTCCATTGCCCATGAAATATTGTGAAATGTGATGTTCTGAGAAAAAAAAAGGAACACAATAAAAGGATTAAAAAGTTCATTTAAGTTCATTCTTGCACAGTGATTATAAAACATGAACATACATACATGCAAAAGTAAAAAAGTAAAAGTGACTTTACCTGAGTTGATTATGAATTGATGTCTCATTTGGTTTGCAGTCGGTTTTGGATTTAAATAGTGTTGAGTAGGCTACCTCTATTTATTCTTTACTTTCTGTTTCAGCTCTCAGTGAGTGATTTGAACAGCTTTGTGTTAGATTAGATGTTTCTGCTCTTTGACAGAATTGTGGAAATTAAATGAAGAATAGGATTACGGAGCACAATGGATCTTCTGATCCTTTACATCAATTGGTCAGTGATGAAGCATTATACAACTATTGATAGTAACTATTTGAACTGGCATTGATTTAATAAGCTCTGTCTAAACATTGACTGGCTGATGTGATTGCATTTGAGTTTTCAGAGATTGTCTTATTCAACAATTTCATGGTGTCTACTAACCTCAACTGAGATGAACTGGGGAAATTTAGTGCAATTTCTTGATCAAAAAACCTTAGATCAAGAGTGTATTTAATAAACTAAACAGTTTCTCATTAATAAATGAATGTTTGCCAATATTTATTTGGATTGTGTAATGTATTGTTTATAGGTTAATGTCTCTCAGAAGACCCCCCCCCCGAATAGATATGAGTTATGAATTAATTAACTTAAAAATACAGGTGCATCTCAATAAATTAGAATGTCGTGGAAAAGTTCATTTATTTCAGTAATTCAACTCAAATTGTGAAACTCGGGTATTAAATAAATTCAATGCACACAGACTGAAGTAGTTTAAGTCTTTGGTTCTTTAAACTGTGATGATTTTGGCTCACATTATCATCACCGTGTGTTTTGAGTTTGAGCTCCGTCAAGTTAATTCTTTGTCGTCTAATTTTCTATTTTAAAATAAATTTTATACACCATCATTTTCGTTTATATAACGTGTGAATATATCCACTATCGTATCCTACAACAAAAACAATCAGAGCGCCTTGTTATCACTAGTTTTATTTTGATTTCCCGAGTCCGCTATTAGCAAATAGCCCGCTAGCATCGCCAGCGTGGTTGCCGCTAACCTCGCTTACATTACAAATACTCTATTCACACAGACATTCTAATTTATTGAGATGCACCTGTATATGCATTTTAAGTTTTCACTTTTGCTAAACAACATAAAAATTTTTACGCAAACAACCTTACAGCCACTCTCCAGATGTGTTTAGGTCATATTTTCTGACACGGTTTGATTCAATTAAAGACGTTAATTGATGGATTGGAGTCCGTTACTTGTGGATTATTTTGGGTGGTTTTATGACTTGTTTGAACTCTCTTTCTGATGGCACCCATTCACTGCATAACAATTTCCAAATTTGTTCCGATGAAGAATGAAAGTCATCTACATCTTGAATGGCCTGAGGGTGAGTAAATTTTCAGCACATTTACATTACAAATGTAAGTTTTAATGTTATAAAGGGGACATTTTCTAACGGATTTTCTTTTGTTTTAGTATGGGTCTATATTCTTTTCCAAGACACTCATCTTGGTTCACCTAATAGTTTTACCCATGACAGGAAGTACACTGTAATTCCTTTGGGTGAGGACTGACTCATTTTACTTTATTTTTAATACTGCATGGCCTAAGATCTGAGAAAATGTACTGAAAATTAAATGCTTTTATAGTATAAAATTCACTAAAATGTACAACTTAAATTACAACTTAAAATAGCGGTCATGCAAAAATAACAAATTTCTCGTTTCATTTTACTAACCTCTGAGCCAGAGAAAAACAGACATTAAACAGCTCCAGAAAACCATCTCTGCATCAAAGTTCAGCACCTGGGAATATATGTTGTCATCATTTATGGCACTTCAGTTGCTACTACAATTACTAATAAGCATTGAGTATTGTTTCAGAATCCCATTGTTTTTATTTTTGAACATTGTTTAATTTCTCACTGTTTATAGAGCACAGTGCAACAAGTGCAATCCATTAGTTACTTATTAAGGGATTTAAATAGCCACTGTGTAGATAAAATGTTAAATATTGTCACTTAATGCTGTATCCTCAAACAATGCCTGAGTTAATCAGAAGAAGACTGATGCTCTGAATGTTTGAGAGCTTCCTTCCCCTTGTATCTTGCTGAACGTGATGTTTGTGATCATTTGTGCACTTCCTATTTCAAAGGCTTCTGAAAGACTGGCTGTACACATTCAACATAAAAGTGTCCTGAAGGGTTAAATTAATTATATATTAATAAAATTAATTAATCAAATATATACAAGAAGTGTAGTATCATATTAAACTTAGCTTTGCATATATTGTATAATAAATATAAAACATATATAACTTAAAATTGAAATAGCACTGTTCAGTGGTCCAGTGGTTCTTGCTTTTTGCACAAAAATTTAAACTATAGCTGTGTCTCATTTAGAAGGCTGCGCCCTCCGGAGGTCGCATTCGAAGGCTGCATACGTCATCGAGGCTGTCTCATTTCAGAAAAGCAAGTAGGACACTTCGAATGCGACCTTCTTTCACGGGAATTCGGAGGATGCATGAGGTGTATCCTTCGCTGCTACAGATAACCCACAATTCTTTGCGTCGCCGTAAACAACCGTTGTTAATTTGAAAAATGCCGGCGCTGGCAGATGTACACACAAGCGCAGATGTGGTGTTTACAACTTAACTTAAATCGCCTCGGTAAAAACGGATAAACTTTGTTTTTAATATCCTCCTCCTTTTTTTTCTCTAACAGATGTCTGTTACGCTGCAGCACCTCAAACATTGAACAAAATAAAACAAGTAAAATCATTTTTTTTTTCAAATTACTTTCCAAATTTAGAAATAATTTTCCTTCATTTAAGTTGTGTGAGAGCGCAACGATGCTCTAAATGTGTTGGCATAGCAACGTGATACTTCCTGTTTCCTTTTCCGCCTGTCCTATGAAGGCCGTCTCGTTTAATTCTAGGTTGAGGACACTTCGTATATGCATCCTACAGAGGATTCGACCTCCGGAGGGTGCAGCCTTCTAAATGAGACACAGCTTATGTTTACTTAGGCCTTTTGGAACTTACAATGTTAGCAACAACACTGCAAATCAGTGGATTTAGAAATGGTGTTCATTTGAGAAAACTGAACCTCTATGCAAGTACACCTACAAGGCTGCACAAAATCATAATGCTTAATGTAATCAACTTAAGTTTTTTGAGTGAGTACATGTATATGTGTATGTATATACGTATGTAGTATAATATATATTCTGCTCAATCAAATGAAAATTAGATATACCATGGATGGATTACATTTACAAACAAATGGCCAGTATTTTTATAAAATTTAACTTTATGAACTTTTCCGATCTGATCCAGATTCACAGCAGTAGGTAATGTGTCAAGAAGCCCAGATCGATACAGAACTGCATGATTTAGCAGCTGTAACTGTCCGGCTGGATGGTGCAAAAATACTTGAAGGTTCTGTCCTCAATTTAATCTTAAAGGGGTCATATGATGCTTTTTTAAAGATCATTATTTTGTGTATTTGGTGTAACAGAATATGTTGACATGCTTTAATGTTCAAAGTATTTTTCAAATACTGTACATTATTGTAGGTCCTCTATGCCCCGCCTTTCTCAAACGCTTCGTTTTCTACAAAGCCCCCTCCTT